ATTATTGTTATGTGGTGGTGCAGTGCTGTCTTTTTAAATCTATATGCCACGCTGTTTCATGTACAGTTTATGTGATAGTAGTCTATAGATGAACATATAATGTTAATAAAATCAAATAAAGTGCATTAGCCTATGTTTCTCTTTCTTTTGTACAAGTGTTACTGGAATATGTACAATTATATGTAAAACTGCAAAGAACTGGCAGCGGAGTTGCCATTATTCTACAGTAAAATTAACATTATTTAACTGTTCTGGTAGTAAACTGCAGTTGGAAGACTGTTAAGCAAGTTTACCTGACAGTTGCCATGTTTCAGGTGTGTGAAATTGATCGTGTCTTGTGATTAACAGGCAAGTACTTCCTATGATCAGTAGTGCAGAGAGAAAATAGTCTGGTGCATCTGTGATATCAGAGAAACATGTCAAAAATCACCCTAAATACAACTGAACAGTTGTATTTAAATCATGCACAAAACACTCAACAGTTCAACTAATACACCCGCAGCTTCTGCTCTATGGCCTTGACTGCACTATCAACTTGTCATCAAGCGAACTCATGGCAATGTAACAAATAGAGCCTACAAGTGTGACAAAAACAACCACACTTATATAGATTTGAAGAAGCAGTACAGAAAAACCTTTTCCAGCACTTCATTGCTGATTCAACGATTATGTTGTAAATTACTTGCCTTGTGTTGTGTGCGCATTTCTAGCTAGCTGCCTCTTTCATGACATGCACACATTCAGCAAGCAAAACAAACTAGAAACATCACTGATGGACTTTGCACCAATTAATAACCCAAAACATAGTAAGTTGGAGATGGATGAAGAACAGAACGGATCCAGCTTCACATGTGCAGATCATGTGAAATAGTTTTCCCAAAATGCAAAAAATACTGCATGATACCGTTGTCTAAGATACTTGTTTGGTTGATTAGCAGTAAAGTGTTGTATTTTAGGCATACATTATAGTAGGCCTACTGTTTAAGAAAGAGTTAATGGAGCATAATTTAAGAGTAAAGGGCTGTATTTAAGAAAAACAGGTTAATACTGTTCAAATCTTGCCGTAAATTTACAGCAATTACTTACAGTGATATGTTATGTTATGTTTGATGAATATTGATGCCTTGTTGTCCTATATGGGATGGGTCAAACTTGAATTTGTACTTGGAATTAAAATTTACTATAACAGACGGACCGACCAATATAGGCTTGGTCGCAGATCCTTAAGAACTCACTCACACTCCTGCCTGCATGGTGCAAGAGGAGACGGAGATACACTGAAGAAAATGAGGGGGGAGGATATAATCTTTCAAAACTTAAAAATGCATGCAACTGTTTGTATACCAAAGTCATTGACTAGACACTGATGGAAATTGCTGGGGACAATTCTGAAGTCACTGTATATTGGTAGATAAATGTCCTTACTGTTCCTACTGAAATCTATGCCCTTAACCAACTAACTAACAAACTTACATCTTATTTCACTTGAACATTTTACAAGGTTGTAGACCTACTTATGTAATGTATGTATTTTTATTTATTTATGGAAACCGCTGCAAATGCAACACTGCAATATCCCTTGGGGATGAATAAAGTATGAGTATGAGCAAAGTATCTATGTTTTTTTCATTCACAGATCTCTCATGAGAATCTGTTTAAATAAAGGATTATACATGTTTTTAAAGTTTACTTTGACAATTAAATTAATAAGACCATTTGATGTCTGGCAGATACAATGACACAATGCACAGGCTTTCTTTGAAAATAAGCCAGAGATAGGTAAAATAAATAAATAATGATAAATCAAAATAATGATAATAATCAAAGAATCTTGACCCAGACTTCAGCCATGTACAATTTGAAGTCACATTAAATATGAAAAAGGACATTGATGTGTTATGTGGAGATTTTGCTGTGCTTTCTATCAACTACTTTGTAGGTAAACTAAATGAAGCATAATAGAATATGTGGACCCAGCTTTTAGATATATATATCTATATACATTAGATTATGGTGCAGTCGTACCATACCTCCATCCCTCCATCCCTCCCTGCTTCAGGTCTGATGATCCTCCTGATGATCTGATTGGAAACATGCCTCATCTTTGATTTCAGATTCCAGGCGTCTGTGCTCAGGAAATGAGAGGTCCCATCTCCACATCAGTTTGCTTCCCCACATTATAAAACTTCACTCCTCATACTGTAGCCTCAGCACAATGGATCAAACAGTTTATGGCTGCAAAGCGGCCACAAGTGAATCTCTAACAGGTGCACTGTTTGAATTGCTTCATTACTTTGAATGTTGATGATGATCCTGAGACATCTTACAACTCCCTCCAGATTTAATTGGTCATTTGCTGCCACCTGGGGGACACAGAGCTGCTGTACATGCTGCTAAAAGGTAGTGAACTAATAATAGTAAAGATGCTGTGTCCATTTACAAACATAAAAGTCCCAGTTTTAAACATTTCTCATATATCTTGAAATGTAAACGTCCTGGGCATCAATGGTATCTTTATGCTTGAGGATATTATTCCTTATTGTAATGGGTGCATATTTTATATTAGTTTATTATTTTTAGTCTCTATTTTATATATATATATGTGTTTTATGAGCTTGCTTAACTGTTGAACTTCAAATTAGAATGCAAACAAATTAATAAAAAAGGGGAAGCAAGCAACTGCGATGAACAGAGCTGTAATGAACACACAAACTTCATATCCCATCTTGTTTTTCGGAGGCATGGTTTTTGCTAAATTAACACATTTAATTGCAGTAATAAGATAACACATGTAAGTGTTGTTGTTTTTTTCAGAAATTCATTTTAAGCTGTTGATCAGACTGTTGTCTGTTGTCTTGCTGTTAAAAAGCGTTTAAAACAGAGTAGGCTACAAGTCAATTATAAGCCTAGTCCCAGTCACACGCTTGTCCTTTTTACTGGCCTGGTCGAAACCAGGTCAGGTTCTTTGAATGTAGAAAATCTATTAAAGTCTACCGGGTCGCCCGCTTGAGCTAAGTTGTTTTCATTAAGCAGAAAAATATAAATCTTTAAACTTTTGTCAATATGGACATGCTACCCATCTTAAGTAAGTAAGTAAGTAAGTACATTTTATTTATTTGGCACCTTTTACAGACAAGAGCTTGTCTAAAAAGATGTGTCTTTGGAGCCACTACGGAGAAAACACGATCACCTCTTGCCTTAAAACATGTTCTGGGAACAGTTAAAAGGTCTTGGCTTGTACATTGTAAGATCAGTTAGATTCTCTACAGTTTGATCATTCAGTTAATTTTACAGAAACAATTCAGACAAAATAGAGATGAAAGAAGCCTAATTTTTCTGCAAGTAATATTTATACTGGTTGAAATAAACTATTTCATAGTAGCCCATTTCCCATCTTTGCTGAGCAAGAGTTTTGTGCAAAAGAAAATAAAGTCCTGTCCCATGAAGATGCCTCTCCCAAATATAGACAAGGTAAGTTCGGTGATTGAAGCAAATAAAAGCCTTGGCTATTAACTGAAGATTTACAGTGTTTGACAAACTCTGGTGGATGTAGACTGCTGTGGTAATGAGTTTTTTTTTCTCTCTGGGTTGAAGTAACACTAATGATTCACTATGCAGCTGTGGAGAAATCCACATCTGTGTCTTTAAGTGATAAATGGAGGAAACCCTGTTTTCCATGTTATAATTATGCAGCGAAATTTCAGGCAGTATGATGAAGATGAAATTAGATCTGATCTAAATGAATCAAGATTTCTTCAGAGGATTCAGTATGCCCTCTGCTCTCTGCACCTGGTGCTCCCATATCTAATCAACTACTGCAGGTCACACACACCCACAGTCTGTTTCCTCTGGCTCAACGCCTTGTGTTGTCCTGCAGAGCTCTCACACATTGCAGAAAAGGAAGACTGTTGGTCAAACTACTGTACACGGTGATGACAAACAGCCCTGAAGTTAATTCATTATTAAGCTTTTCATGTGCACCTGTTTCTCAGACACAGGGCTGGATTACCTGAGTCAACTGCACCTGGGGACCCTAGAACTCCAGGGCCCCCCGAAAGCTTTACAGGGTAACAGCTGGTTTGTAGTAATTGATCCAGGGTTCAGGGATTCAGGGAGTGATTCAGTTTTTAATGTGGGGCCCTGCTTCTTGAGACAATGACTTGTTGCGGGTCCTAGTGTCAAAATCTAGTTTCAGTTTTGCCCTTATGACATATTCCTACGTTTCTACTTGCTTATGTTGTTCCAGCATAGAAAAACAACAGATGTGAGAAGTATCTGGGGGTTAATAGAGGCCCAACAGCTCATTTGTGCCACATAGCAGGTTATTCCAGCCATGGTCAGAGAGATTCAGTGCTGTGGTTACTGTTATTGTTTATACTCAAAACAATAAGCCAACAGGGGCCAAAACGATCTGTGGAGCTGCAGAGTTGGATGTTTTTTTTTGTCACTATGAGTGACCTATGTCACATTACACGTAGCCCATTTGAGGAGCTTCAATGCTGCTCTAACGCTGTATCCAGTTTTTGTAGACATCCATGCTCCACACCAACAGATAATCTTTTTTTTTTAAGTTTCAATCTTGATAATCTTGTAGTCTTCAACCCAAACCGATGATGATTCAAGTGACATCACTTGGGGACATTTATCAGACCTGAGGCAGCTCCCCCTGAAGACACTATAGGCTACTTCTTTTGTCATTATATTCCTCAACACCTGGAAACACACTTTGATGTGTACCTACTATTTTTTTTGTAATCCTTGTTACTGTTATTTATATAAAGATTTTGAAATTGAATATAAAAAGGATTGTAGCCAGTCAATATGGTTAGTATTAGTATTAATAGTATTAGTAGCCTAATATTATTAAGTAGGCCCTCACATCTGTCGCCATCTCCTGGTATCAGTGACGGTCATGTTGAAGGTCGTTTCCCCTTTAAAATGTTTTGGAGACTGTCGATGCTGTTCTGTCTGGAGCTGTGAGGAGAGGAGGGAGGGAGGAGAGGGGGTAACTCAGTATGACATATAGGCTGTTCACACGCAGGACAAAAACCCGCAGAGGACACATGCGTTTTTCACCATGTAGAAGGAGATAGACGGACTGACTCAGTTTCATCTTCAAACTTTCAAACAGCATGTATCAGTATACTGGGCTGCTGTGACTGACGTATTCGGATTTCTCCGCAGAAATAAAAAATAAAAACGCAGGTAAGCTTGCTGTTTCAGACTGTCACGCATCAGGGCTTTGTGCGCGACGCTGCGTCGAGGTCTTTTTTGCAGAGATGAACTTTGTATCTTGTACAGTGAGCTCACATTACAGTTATAATGTTTCGGATATGAGAGTGGATTCCAGCGGTTTGCACGCCATACAGCAGGTCACTGTAAACAAACAGAGCAAACGTGCGGCTGCTTTTCAGCACCAAGGACAGACTGGAGGCTGCTGCGTAGTTTGAAACCAAAAGCTTCTGCCAGAGGTTCAAAAATAGCTTCACTGTCCTCTGTTTGACTTAAACATGTACTAATGTCAGTTTATTAACGAAGAGCATATTTAAATCTTCAAGGTAAAAAATGGGGGGGAGAGATTGCTTGTGGACCAGTTTTTTTTTTCTGTTTTCCTAGACACCACAGGGGCTTCTGTAATCTCCTGCCAGACAGAAATACACCTTGACTCACAATATACAAGTCAGAGAATAAGAATCAAAAAGTCAAAATGTCATTTTATCAGTAGAATGAATGATGAGTAGGTGTGAGGAGGAGTCATTACAGATATGTGTCAAGTCAGTCTTATTTGTTTCTATTAGACCCTTGGTTCAGGAAAGGAAAAAAACTCCCACCAAAACACTCACAAAAGACAGACATGCTATAGATGATGTGTAGGCTAGATAGATAGATAGATAGATAGATAGATAGATAGATAGATAGATAGTTTACAAATAAAAAGCTAAATTACCATATGGAAAATCAGGATGACATTACTTAGACAAATGCAAACATAGGCTATTTGAAAACAGGCAAAAGGCTGCTGAGTTAAGTATGGAGATGCTTCAGATGTGCGTTACAAATGGGTTCATGAAAAAACAATTACTCTTTGTCAGAGGACAAGCTATGACACTGCCGGAGTTCCCTTTATTTTATTCACAATCCAGAAGGAACTCCAACAGTGTAAATAGTGTAAAAAAAAAAAGCTGTTTGGTTCATAACACTGATAAAATGACAGCACTGCACATGCATTAACACGGTCAGGACTCTACCAGCTATCAGTCTGTTTGAGCTATAACTTGGAGATTCTCAAAATAGTGTATGAATGTGTGAGTATTTCTGCTTTATCGTCTGCAAAAAGTGAACTATCTCAGTTCTCAGTTCTTAGTTTAGAACATGTTCATGTCCCCATCTGTTTCTGTATTTTGAGACTGTAGTATGTTCAGGTGTCTGTTTGTGTCAATTTTGTCTGTTCAGTCCGTGTTTCAGTGCCGTGCTCTGTTTTCTGTTTTGTTTTGTAGTTGTCTGCGTTCGCTGTCTGCGTCTAGTTTTGCTTCCCGTTCTGTTTTATTATCTACCCCTCCTCTGTGTTCCCACCCCGCTCGTTTACTATGGTATTTAATGCCTGTGTTCAGTTCACTCCCTGCCATCATTGCCTTGTTCTGCCTGTAAGGTCCTTTTTTGGATTTTCAGTATTTGGATTGTTTGAACTGTTAGTTACTTTTGGTTTTCCTGGGCTCTGCCTTGCTTGCTGTGAGTACAGTACACTTTAAATAAATGGTCAGAACACATCCGGTCAGCTCTAGTGTCTTGCACTCAGCAAAAACCCGACATCTGCATAAACTGTGCCAAAAAAATCTAGTTTAATCCACTGATTGATGGACCGACTATCTAACTGTTTTACAGGAGCAGAAAATGGCAGCTGCAGACGTCCTCTACTTCACTTTGTGGATCGCCACAGTCTTCGCCACCGGACTTGGATGCCCTGAGCTCTGTACCTGCTCAGATAAATACGGCCGCCATTTTGCTGAATGCTCCTACAAAGACTTGACTGAAGTACCAGATGGGTTGCCTCCTAATGTGACAACTGTGAGTCTCTCCGCAAACAAGATCAGTTTGATACCATTTGGGAGCTTCGACAATGTCACCCGTGTGACGTCGCTTTGGATGGCCCACAATGAGATTGTCACTATCGAACAAGGGAGCCTCACGCCTTTAGTTCATCTGCGTAACTTTGACATCAGCCACAATAAAATTGGAGACTTCCCTTGGGAGGACCTGCTGAACCTCACAGGCCTGCAACTGTTGAAGATGAACCACAATGAGATGGTCCACCTACCGAGGGACGCCTTCTCCAACCTCAAAGACCTGAGGTCCCTGCGACTCAACAATAACAAATTTTTAACCATAGTTGAAGGCACGTTTGAGGGTTTGATGTCTCTATCCCATTTGCAGATTTATAAAAATCCCTTTGCATGCACCTGCTCCCTTGACTGGCTCACAGACTGGATTTCAACAACCACCGTCACAGTTCCTGAGAAGGATTTGATAACTTGTGCATCTCCAGAGAAACTTAGAGGGAAAGTGATCGGAAAATTACCCGAGTCAAAGTGCACAAGCACAAATGTCACAATACGAACTGAGCCAACTATTCACAACACAACTTTCTATGAGGGCAGTTCATTGGTCTTGACTTGTGAATTCACAGGAAATCCAAAGCCCCTGGTCATGTGGAATATTCGCAGCAAAAGCCAGAAGCAAGAGCTGGCTTTGTCGTTCACTGAGGATGACTCAGCAGAATCAAATGCAGACTCCTCACTGTCCCATAATCCTGTCAAAGTCTATAATAACGGGACTCTTATCATTTCACACCTCAGGAAGGAAGACGGCGGCAACTACAGCTGCTCGGCCACGAATGAATTTGGAAGAGCTGAGGATTCAGTGTCAGTGAAGGTCGTGGGTTTACCAAAACCAACACCTGCAAAACCAATGACCACATCACCTACTTACACTCAAACTCACCAATCTATACACCAGAGAACAGACAAACCATCTGTTTTTGATTCTGCGCATCTGACTGATTTAAAGAGAAAAGACAACATGAACATCGTACCCACTTTCCCGCCCACTGTGGAGATCAGTTCTCAGTCTTCTGAGGAGGCAATAAGCTATCCATCACATGCTAGTAAATGTGGCTTGACGGCTAATACGAGATACATTTCCAGACATGTCTTTAACGGGAGCCTGGATGACATCAAGCAGTACACATTTGACTTTGGTGTCATTGCGTTAGGGGTGTCAGAAACAGAGGTGACAGTGCGACTCAATCCTCTTCTCATACCCAGAGACAAGAGCGCCGACCGGCAGAGCTTCCACACTGACAGTGAAGAGAATCAAGGCCTTTCAGGTGTTTCTGAAAATGTCCAGTCAAATGGCTTGTATCTGTGCGTCACTGCCGACCGCAAACACTCAGCTGTGCAGTGGTCGAGGATCAAAGAGGGCGTCAACACGTATCTGTTTAGTGGTTTACGCCCTGGCACCAACTACTCCCTGTGTCTGACCTACAGAGGAGAGGACTGTGACGTCCAGGTGCTGTTCACCACCAGGAGGAGGGTACCCAACCTGCTCATCATCATCTCGGTCAGCATCTGCCTCCTGACCATGTCTACTGTGCCTCTCCTCGGAGCAACATGCTTCCACCTGGTGTACAAATACCGCAGCAAGACCTACAAGCTGATCCTGAAGGCCAAAGACCAGTATCACATGGAGAGGAACCTCGGCACTAACTTTAACATCCACGCGTCTCACACCGAATCTCAGAGGAAGATTAACGGCAGCCAGCTGGACGAGGAGGAGGGGGAGATGGATACAGAGAGTGGAGACGGTGAGAGAGAGGCAGATACAGAAGAAAGTGTCATGACTGAGTCCTTTACTTTGTCCCAGTGCAGGGGGAATTTAGACAACTGTGAGGTAGGATCTGAGTATAGTGATAGGTTGCCTTTAGGAGCGGAAGCTGTGACTATTATAAGCAACTACAAATATCCAAATCAGTAATTGTTGACTATCTGACATATTATTTGCACATTATTTGCAGCTTTCTTTTGCATTTGGTTAAAGGGTAAAACAGGTTTTTTATTTCATTTTGTGCCAATGGTTTAGGATCCCTTTAGGCAGCCGAGAAATATTGCTTTGTATGACAGTGGTCTGACAAGACTCCAAACACATTTACTTGCTTTAAACCACAGCTCAGGCTGCATCTTTCAGTAACCCGACAGGCTGCCAGCTGCCAGGCTCTATCGATTGTCAGTGGATGTTTTCCAGATAGACCTTTTGATGAAAGCTGAACTAGGCCAGGGTTAGGCCCTGTTAAACTTGTTACACATCCTTTTTTCTAGCTGGAAATATCACGGCTTGTTTCCTCCTTTTCTGTCATACATTCATGTATACTTCTATAAACGACACTAGAAAGCAAAAGTATAAGCAGCAGAGAGAAAAACTGAGTGCTCAACCTCAAAATTATTCATTCAATGCCTGTGCAGCTTCATATTTTATTAAATATTATCAGTAATGTGATTCAGCCAGAGGCTTTCCTCAGAGCATGATAGTGTTTAAATGAACTGTTTTTGGGAAAAATGCTTTTTTGCTTTCTTGCAGAGGGTTAGATGACAAACATCAATAGCACTCATGTCTGTCCAGTAAATACGCAGCTACAGCCAGCAACCTTTTAGCTTAGCTTGGCACAAAGACTGTAAACAGGGAATAACTGTGGACAAACTGGCTTACTACAAAAGCACACAAAATATAGAAAATAATGTGTATCTTGATCCAGATCTGCAATAGATGTTTGTCACATTTCATTAAAATCTGTTAAGAGTTGCTAGAGATACACTATATGGACAAAAGTACCAGGACCTGGTTAAACCTGTTCGTAGTAAACAGCTAGTTAGTAAAAACATGACAAGACAAACAGAATGGGGTTACTATGAAGATCAAATGTTAAATCAAATGAAACAAAACTTGTATCACATATGACATGCCTGAGCTGTTTTTTCATGGTGTCGTCTTTCTTAAGGGAAATCCTGGTCCTACACCATATAATTTTAGACAGCAGTTCTTCTAGCAGTTTGTCTTTGTCCCTTTCCTCTTTCAATATGACAATGCCCCCCCCCCAATGCCCCACAAAGCCAGCTCCATAAAGAATTGGTTTTCCCAGTTTGGTGTGGGAGAACTTGACTGGCCAGGCACAGAGCCCTGTGCTCAACCCTATCCAATACCTGCAACACCTGGATGAACTATAACGGAGATTGTAAGCCAGGCCATCGTGTCCCACATCAGTGTCTGACCTCACAAATGCTGTTCTGGATGAACGGGCATAAATTCCCACAGACAAACTCTAAAATCTTGTAGAAAGCCTTCCCAGCAGAGTGGAAGCTGTTATAGCTGCAAAGGGGGGACCAACTCCATATTTATGCTTATGGGATGTTATAAAAGTAATGTGTAGGTGTCCCAGTACGTTTGTCCATATAGTGTATCTCCCTTGAGAACACAAAAACAGAAAAAGGTAAATTATAACCTCCTTGCAGGGTTATAATCCATCACAGTAAGTTGCCTCTTTTCTGTGTGATGAGCTGGGACTCCATCTTGAAGCCACTTTTGAATTGCCAAAATGAGACTGATAGTGCCGTCCATTAAGTCTTAATTATGATGTGAAGTTAATAGTTTTCAACAGCACAAACAACCTGAGGGAGAAGTTTCAATCTTACAAAATCTGTCATTATAAACTTAATTATTTCCTTTGTCTATTTATTTAGAGCATATTTGTTAAACCTGTTCCTAGTAAACAGCTAGTTAGTAAAAACATGACAAGACAAACAGAATGGGGTTACTATGAAGATCAAATGTTAAATCAAATGAAACAAAGCTTGCATCACATGTGACATGACTTGCAAAATGATTAGGATAAATGTCAACTAGATGTAAGCTGCAGTAAATGGGATAACTGTAAGTAAAGTATATGAATATTCTGCTTTAAACTTCATACAGTAAATTTGTGCTGTGCAGTAGCTTTAAAATACACAAACTCAAGGGAATTTCAATGTTTAGAAAAACTGTGTTGTTTCAAAGAGAAAACCATTGAGTCCTGCAGCTATGAGCTCTTTGTCCAGTTATACTGTGAACATTTCCTATGAAGATAACTTGTGAAGTTTTCATGTTGTATAAAATTGGGTGTTTTAAATAAGCTCTCTGTGTCGCTGGCAAAATGTGGACAAGTTACTTCAATATCATTTACCAAGTCTACTGCAGTGTATAACAGTACAAGCACTTTGGATTGTGGATGTGAAGTTATTACCTTGTATCTGGGTCATGTGTCCATGCTGTTGTATTTCGCAGAGTCCTGTGTTAGAAGACCTGCATGCTGCCTATTACCATGAGTCGCACTATGCTGTGTCTTGTGTAAATATTCTTGACTTAAAGAAGAACTTTGGGTCTCTGTTATACTCCTGTAATAAGGGAAGTATTATGTTTTTACCAAAGTGTTTAAATATCCTCACTAACTCTCCCAATCCTATGTGCCTCAATAAAGTTTTGACAAAGGAATAATTAATGATTGCTCATCTATCTGTCTCTCTTTTCTCTCAACACCTTCAGGACCAGCATTCAAAGTAAATAGTTACATATATATGAAACAACAAAAATATAACTGTACATATTCTGGTAACACATTACCCTTCAGCAATTCATTTGTTAAGAAATATTTTCATATATATAAGATGTTAAAAAAATGCTGTCATACGACACTGACATTGAAGAAATGTCCATTACAGAATAACTGCAAATATATGGAGGACCAAAAAAGCCTTACAAGTGGATCAATTGATAATTTTATTATCGGATTGGATAATAAAATTAATGAAAATTAAATCAATAAGTCAAATATAAAGCAATTAAATTTACAATTAGTAAAGAGACATTAATACAAATTAAACTATTAACTAGTAAATGTAAATTAGTATGACCATTTTTTCAATAATAGAGCAATACATTTTGATGTATTCATATGTTTTATTTTGTTATAATTTTAAAATTGATATAAATAACATCACAAATTTAACTGCAAAGCTGCACCTCGTATTTGAACTCAATTTTCTTCAGCTGTGAAAATATGCAGGGTGATTATCCTAAATATCTCATCGTATGATTCATCCCATAATAATTACATAACAGAAATGAAAGTAGAAACAGTTGTGCACAAAACCATTAAGCAGATAATAGAAGCAGATATAAACCAAATGTTTACAATGGAGTGTGACATTCTTGTGACTCTAGTTCTACGTGTTTTAACTTTAAATGATAAACTGCTTAGTTCTGTGTTGGTTGATACATTTCTAGCCTCCATGATCTTACAAACTCCCTTGAACACCACTGGACTGACCCAGAAAACAATTACGTGAATTGAGTGCACAGCATGTGTCAACATAACTGCGTTACCCGAGGCCATAATGGACTATGGCCTTCTATTGACTTCCTACCCTGGTTCTGATGTTGCCATTGATCAGCACTGGCACTGTACATTGTGTCAGTCAGTAAATAACTAAAAGGCCTCAACAGAACTGCAGAGGCAGAACACAGTGCAAATTTACTTTTCAGAAAGTGAGCTGGAAGGTGCTATAGATGAAACCTGTATTGTCATTCATATTATTATCACAACCTCAGGGATTTGGTTAATTGGCAATGTTTGTTTTTAGAATTTGTGTCCCTGTTAGCTTTTATTTACATGTGAAACCATTGTTTTGGCCCAGAAGGTTCAGGCCCACCTTTCTTGCCGGCACATCAGTAACAAATATGTGTCAGCTAGAGACAAAATCTAAAGCTAGCACCAATTTGCAGCAGATAGAGATCTTTCTGCTTTATTGATTTGTTTCCGGGAAAGCACATTTCAAGCTTAAGCATTGTACTATAGCAACAACTAACGCTTTATATTTGCCACTGTGTACCTGATCTGACCTACATTAAAAACTTGAGTGTAAAAATTTAGCGACATGTCAGTGAGTGAGCCATGTGAGTATACTCCAAACAAGATCACATTGGACGTGTTTACACACATAAACAAAATGACTGGATTGCAACCACAAAAGTACAAAATATAGTGTCAACTACACTTTAAAGATTAGGGATCTCAATCAGTTTTATCTTGGTTTGTTGGGGCGGCAGTGGATTGGACTGGCTCTGCAGCAGTCATGCTGGCCTCCCTCTTGCTGCCTTTCTTGGCGCTGTGGTTGGGGGTCCCATTCAGGGTGCTCTTTGAAGTCCGCCGTGTCTGGAAGTGCTTCCTGGAGCCCAGCAGGGACGGGTTGTTGACCAGCGTGTACAGCAGCTGCCAGCGAGTGCGAATCCTCCGACTGCTGGTCGCCTTGTTCGGCCGATTCTCCCGAATCCCTGAAAGCATGGAGGAGCAGGCTGTCAAGGCAGAATGAAACACCAAACTGAGGGGCTGAGGCACCATGAATATCAGTATGTCATAAGTATAAACATTTTGGAGAAACAATACATTTTATTTAGATATTTTTCATACCTAGATGATCAATTAAACAGGTCAAAATGATTACATGTCCAACAATTCATTACACAACTGGATAGGATAGAACATACCATGCTACCATGCTAATATTAAAGCCAAAGGTTTGTATCTTATCCACTTCATTGAAAGATTTCGATATTTATTATGACAAAATTTGGTGCACATTTGTGTTTCAGAGAGAAATGTCTCGACCACTGTTTCATGGATTGCCATGAGATTTTGTACAGATAATATGTGAACTTCTGTGGTTCCCTTGACTTTTTATCTGGTGCCATTATCAGGTCAAAATGTTACTCTGGTGGTGTTTAAGATCTGAGCATTGCTGTGTCTGAAGGTTTTATCCATTAAACTACTTTTTTTTCTAGAGTGTAATGAGCGCGGCTATAGATGTCTAGATGTCTATACATTTTAAATGAAATCTTTGAAGCACAGGTCAGACGTAAAGATTGGCTGCATGTATGTGAGAATATGTATTGTGTGTGTGTGTGTGTGTGTGTGTGGTTTAGGGTCTCTACCTTCCTCTGCGTCTCTTATTTTCTGTCCAGCACTGCCACTCTCGATCATCATGTCCAGCAGCAGCCCACAGAAGGCCTTCATCACCGGGTGTGACTGGCTGACCTCTACCTTCAGGGAGTGGGTGTAGTATCGGAAGGCTGGATGGGGTTAAAGGTCACAGAGCATAACTAAAGTGAGACTGAGACCATGGCCAAAAATATCTTTATTCTCTGCCTACACATTTAACAAACAAATCACCTGACCAAAACTATTACATATTATATATACTATTAAATTACACTACTAACAAGTATTGTGTGTGTGCTCATAGCTTGATATAGTTTTTCCACAATGTTATAGGATCCCAAAAACTGAAATCATACCTGGGTCGTAGGACTCTGCGGTGCGGTGCAGCAGGCTGATGTCAATGCGACCAAGATGGATGATGTTGTACAAAGCTGTTATCACCATTCTCCATATTGCGACTATCAGTCCCACCACAGTGTTGATCAGGAACAGCAGGTATGTCAGAAGGAACAGACTCTCTCTGGAAATCACCATAACATGTTTCAGAAAAAACTGAAGTGGCTGTCTTAGCACATAGATGGCTCTGACCCTTACAGGGCCACACCGGGGGCCATAGCCAGGATTTTACATTATTGATAGTACACATGAAGATCAGTTTACTGGATATGGTACAAGTACTACTCAACCTGTGACAAGACATTGTAAAATGTCCTTTATGACTCTGGAAGAGGTTTGTCATGTTTGACAGAATGACCCCTGATGAGTTTAGAGACTTTACATTTTTAACTGATTAAATGCTTTGAAACTAAGGTTGTTGAGTTTCGAAAATTGACCGGATGGAGGGTCTAATAAAAGAAGATTTTGAGTTGCGTTATGGGAAATGTTTTTGGAGCTTGTATTAAAAGTCAGGCCATCTCAACCCTTCCATCCATCCATCATCAACCGCTTATCCTGCGTACAGGGTCGCGGAGGGCTGGAACCAATCCCAGCTGACATTGGGCGAAAGACAGGGTACACCCTGGACATGTCGCCAATCCATCGCAGGGCCCCTTGTGGATTCAATAGTTACTATTCTTTTTCTTCTTTTTTTTTCTTGTGAGTTCCCCAACTTTATGGAACTGCAATACTATGAATTATAAATTCTGTACATTTTATTACCCAGCAGGAAGGTCTAAAATCTTTATCCAAACTGCCAGAAAGAAAATAATATTTGTTTATTTATTTATGCATTTATTTGTTGGCCTACTGGGGACCTTTATTTGTTGGCCTACTGGGGACCATCAGGTCCCCCAAATTCCTGGGCAAAGGTACAGAGGATACAGAGGACCTTAAATGTAGCTAGAGGCCTGTCAACACCCATAATTAACAAAGCAATTATTATAATAACAGCACTGAGGATGAAGCAGTAATTGAAGCAGCAGAGTTGGAGAGACTTTTGATACACACAGCACATTGTACCTTTTTAAAACACATGAATCATTTACTTCATTAAAAATTAAATATCTGTAACATAAGTAAAAACAGCTCAACATTTTTTGAGAATTTAATCTTATTTTAATCAGCAACCAAAAAACAAAATTATAAGGGATTCTTCCACTAATCATCAATTACCTAAACAACACACTGTGTATACTAATTTAGTGAAATTAAATTCCAACATATGGGTTAGAAAAGGCTTCACATACCTGTTGTTCAAGTCTCTTGTACCAGATTCCTTTTTGATGAAAGCAAACTTAGCTGTCACGTGTTGAAGCGCTGTAACCAGCAGCATTGTGACCCAGACCGGCCTGAGACACCACATAGCTGGATAAGGAAAAACTCAATGATGACAAAATGAAAAAGAGCTACATGAATGGTTTCTGACTCACCATGCTTTTCCAGCTATTTCGAAGACGATGACATTACGGCCGTAAAAAATAGGGATAATGATCAAAAACACCAGGAACAAGAAGCAGATGAAAAACACAACAGTCTGAATAACCATTCCTGCCAAGAGAACACAGAAACAGGCCATTAATGAACACATAACTTATCTTTAAATCATTCTTTGCAGTTGATTAAAAACTTCTTTTTGATGTGACATTGGACTTCAATTAAAGGATAAGCCTAGCATTAGTCTATATTTTTGCTTTTGTCAACAAAACCTATGAAAGCACCAACGTGTGTGTCTACATACTTCCCAACTTGTCATCCCCGTCTTTTGCATTCAGGTCCATTTATTCCCAAAGATGTACATTTTAAAAACTGATCACAAATATATTGTTTCATTTTTAAAAAGATGATTTATTGAACTCGTTCAATAAAAGTGCATTTGTCGGGGACTATATTCGGCTGCGGATTAATCCATATTTGGTACTCCAGTGATTATTTGGTGCAACAGTGTGACTCACTGAAGTGTTTTTAATAATGTTTGGACAACAATGGAGCTCTACAATAAGCTTTAACATTTTGTCTACATGCAGTATCCTTTTGATTGATCCTTCTAACAACACTAGATAGTAGGATTAATTAATTGTCGGTGTATGTCTTTTTTTGAGATTTGTTGACAAAAATTAAAAATATAGAATATTACCAGCATTTGCCTAAAATATGGTTAAAGTCACTGAGGATTTTGTTGCGTATTTGAGCTTTACCAATGCAGACGATCGCAGCCTGGTATCCTATCAAGCCCATCCAACAGACAATACCAGGTTTAGATGGACGGATGGTATTCTGGCTTTTATAAATGCTGTAAATGTCTCCTTTGTACAGTCCTTTCAGGTTTGACCTGAAACAAATTAAAACCAGTGGCACTTGGATAGACATGAAACTTTTGGTTGAATCATCAGTACAAACCAGGAGACACTGTGCCGACAAAAACTGATTGCATGGTGGAACATCCAGTCACAGAGCTTAAAATTATGTGGCAGATATATTTTTCAACAGTTGGTGGAGACCAAACTAGAGCTAATAGGAGAGTGGATATGGACAGTCAGGTAGCCAGAGACATGACTCTAAATGAATGGTAATGTTGTTCTGTGTCTACAGGATGACTAAACAACTGTTGGCTTACATGTTCACCACATTAATAAGGTCTCCACTTAATAAGGTGATAATCATAGACTGTATATAAAAACGTGATAATAGTGCATTTACAGCTTGTTACACTTTCACCAAGTGGCCAAAGGATTCTGCTTTAAGAAAAGATTCTGTGGTAAGCAATGACTCCTCTCTAAGTGGCGTTACTGCACTTACCTGTGAAGTATCATGGACCTCATGAGCATGATGAGACTGACCACACAAGAAAGGGTCATTGCACAGAGGTAGCACACTAACAACATGGTGGAAAACAAAAACTAAATTACTCACTTATTTATTAATGATAAAAAAAAACATGACTCCCAGATTTTGTTAAAAGCCAAAGAAATTAGCCCCACACACCTTCCAGCAACCAAGTATAGAAGGTCACAATTCTGACGACCTCCATTCTGTCGTCTGACAAGATTATCCCAAATCCCATTAACAGGAAGGCGATGTTTTCATCAATACCAGCACGAACAATATGGAGATTAGGGACCACCAGGACGACTAACAACAACGCCACCTGAAAGGTGAAAACATAATGTGGTTCAGCACCACAAAGGCAAACAGCAGTACATTTAGTCTGATTTAAGAGGTCAAAGGTCATGACAGTGGAAGACTTACATGATATATCGCCACAAAGGCAACAAATGTTGATACAGCCAACTTTAGTGGAAAACAAAACACTGAAAGACAAAATAAGTCATCACTTCTAGCACAGCTGACCTTATTTCAGCCATTTAGGATTTACCATTATACTGCATGACTAAATGTTTAGATTGACACATCCCATCATGATTCTTAATTTATGTCTTCATGATCTCCATTTATTCATTCAGTGTTTGTTCAGTTCCTCACCTCTTGTTTCAGACCACTTCACTTCCAGTTATAACATAGATAAGCCAATGCGTGTTAAATAAATACAAAATGACTGCTGTCAGAACATGGTCATGAAAGAAAATAAAAAATCACGCACTCACCCTTTTCTGGTTTATAAATATAACTCTTAAGCACCTCGAATATTCTCTCTGCCAGTGTTGGTTTGTCTGTAGATAAAGAGCTACAATGCATATGTAAGAACACAGACAATTAATGTTACAATCATCCAGTATGAATGTTCTTCCTTAAATTTACATATGACAATGAATAACATTTGATTCCTTAAATCTGCCCTTGCAGGTCATGCCCAGTGTCTACATGTCATCATTTTAATCTGACTGTTTCCAAGTAACATGAGCAGGAGTACAGGATAAACTCTAAAAATTCAGTGGTTTATTTTTTCAGTTTTGTTTTTGTGTAAAAGCTTTTAAAATGTTATTTAAAACCTACAAATTAAAACAAACAGTGTTGATGCGGCAGGTTCATTGCTGGTTTTGTTGATTCAATTAAATATATCATGACATCCATCATATCAGTCTTGTGCTATACTAACTATACTATACTTTTTCATTCAGCAGCATTCTGGAGAAAACTGGATATTTTGTTCATGAAACAAATGAAGTGAGAAATTACATTTAGCAGACGCTTTTATGCAAACCAATGTACAATTGATAAATATGTCAGAGGTCACACTCATCTGGAGCAACTAGGGATTAAGTGTCTTGCTCAGGGACACATTGGTGGATGTGTCACAGTGGGAATTGAACACCTGGGTCTCTCGCATCAAAGGCATGTGGCTTGTCCTCTGTTCCATCGCTACCCCTAACGCCACACCAATAATATTATCTTATATTGTGTGTGACGCCCTGTGGGGTCATGAGTGAGTGTGGTCTCTCTCTCTCTCTCTCTCTCTCTCTCTCTCGGAGGAGGAGGAGGAGGAGGAGGAGCTGATTGCAGTTCCTCTGGGCACCTGGGCTAATTGCCCTGTAGAGTATTTGGGACTGTTTTCTCATTCAACCAAGATAGCTGCTGTCAAGAACAGGTCAGACCTCCCTGCGGCCGGCTCCCTGGTTTTCCATTTAGTTTGGTTTTCCGTTGGTTCGACTGTTGCGTTGTGGTATTTATTCTTATTTGCCTGCTACAACACCTTCACACACACACCCATGCAACCATCATCCTGCACAGACACTACTGAAACCACAGACTACATACTTTAATGTTAGTTTGAAATACTTCTTAATTTGGTTAATTTTGGTTTAAATAAACATATTTTGTTAAACTTTTATCATGGTGTGTCTCCCTTTTGTTGTGGCCTTTTGAGCCAGGTCATAACATGTTGTAGCTGACTGTTATCTTGCTAATTTCATTGGGTAAATTCCATATCCATAAGTCCAAGTTTTCTAAATGTCTCCCAAATATTGAATTATTTATTACTGAATTTGGAAGTTACATGCTGTTAAAACTAGTAAAATGTGTGAACATAACTGATGTCTTGTGCACCTTTAATTTTATAAATTCATGTTTCCATATGTATGTATTTATTTATACATGCATACATTTATCTGCTTTCCTACGTTGTCTTTATTGACACTTCATGTCTTAATTTAACAAGTGACATTAAATTACTTATTTTCATACTATACGAAGAATGTAATGGATGTTATCCATGTTCTGTGTGACATGTTTTAAATAAAGTTTAGAGGGGAAAAACATAAAATTGTTGCCTTATCTCCATTCACCTGGCAGCTGAAGACTTTTTCTTGAGAAGTGACTTCACATAGTTGGTGTAGTAGCTGCTGTCAAGGTCCTGTAAGCAAAACATTCAGACTTTACATCATGTTATCAGTTATGATGAGTAACCATATGAGAAAGGATGTTATTACTATAAGGACATGGGTTTAAATTCCTTAATAATTTTCAGTGAAGAACTTTACTAAAGAGACTCTTAGTAAGATTTAGCATCGTTTCAAGGTGATATTCTGTGTACTTTTGGGTTCCTGTCTGTAATTAACACTTTGAACTTCCATCAATGCTTGGTTGAAAACATAACATGAAAAGAAAACCCTCATGAGTGACCGAAGTGCTGGTTTTTTATTTGATCTCATGGCAGAGATTTCTCTTCTGAATAATTAGTGAAAACTGTAGACAGATTCAGCCTGCTGTTAAAACAAAAACTCTGTTGCTTGACAGGAAAAAAATATCACCTCCATCGTCATAATCTGCTCAAAGACGCTGAGTTAAACCCACTATACTCTGCACAAGCTGCTTACAGTAATCATGGTTATGTTGTACATAGTTGAAATTCACGTGTCTTTCTGCAGTTGCACCAGCGACAGCCTGAGATTAGTTTACATGTTGTTATTTATACACATGTGTCATGAGGCAGAAAACGATGGTACTTTTGTATTGGCTGAATGTTGATGTCTGCATTCTGACTTTTCTCACCTCGTCAGTCTTTGGTTCTTTGACAAACAGCAAAGGAAACTGGACACAGAGATATGCAAGGCATGCCAACTGCGGTAGACTTGCAAGCAGAGCGTAGTACTTATAGATCTGTGAGGAGGAATATGGAGGAAAATGGAAATGATCAGTTCACCTAAAATCATAAATCAAGTCTGGGTAATGAATGCCCCAGCTAGTCTGGAGTTTTTCTTTCTCTTATATCAAAGATTAAAGCTTCAGTAATCAATATCTTTATATCAACAGCAGATTAAATTAATATGGGTAATCAGAAAGTGGTTGCTCGTAGCTCGAGTGTTTTAGCGACTTTCAGCTCTTGGTTTTGGTTTTACTGCCCACAGCTTTACTGTTTTGGTTCAAGATCTCATTGCCAGCCACAGCAGAGCCAGGTATCTTTCTCGGGAGTTGCTAGAGACCAAAACAGGGCTAAAAAGAAAGTGAATATTGACCAAGAGGAAAGAAACAACGTTCCAAGTATGTAATAGTGCGTCCCAGGTGTACTGAGAAGTCAGGAGAACCTCAGTACCCCTAACTTTGTGATCCAAGATGGCTGCTCCATGTATCAACAGTTAGTGAAAGCTGTAGTTTATACTGCTTATTAGCACTTCCGTGTATTTGTGTCACAGGTAATTTTTGTACACAAAGCATTGTCCAACTGCTGTCTGTGGACCTATTGCCACTGTATACAGTATGCGTAAATACAGCGAAATGCGTTTTTTATCAACCAGCGTTGGTTTCCATGGCTAACCTGGCTAGTTATAAACAATGGCTGGCCGTGTGAGGTTTTCCGACTTTTAACTGGACGTCATTCCCAGCTCTGACGTCCCACTTCTGAGGTAAATGGAACGCAGCATTACTCTGTGTCTGCTGGATGTGTGAATTCTGTTTGCTAACACATTCACCACAACAACTTTATTAGGTGATACTGTGTCCGTGTTGTGTTTAAATCTTGCTCTGCTGCCCCCAAGTGACCAAAAAATCAATAAATGCTGCTTTAAATTTAAAAAAAAAACAACCACCACCAGCATAATGTTTTAAAACATTTTCAAATCCTGCTCATAGATTATTTAATGTGTTGAAATTTAATGTGGAACAGGGGTGGGCAATATGACGATATAAACTGTGAGACAATGTTGTTGGTGTCTCACCTCTGGAGTCTGAGGACAGTCGAACTTCTGCCACACCAGGACCCCGAAGTGAGTGAAGGAGAGGAGCGTCCCGAACGCATAACTTGCTTTGTGCTGCAGAGTGCCACAGACCAACACAGGATAATAAAGGACAGGATAGTAGAAGATGGCAATTATCTTCATGTACTCTGAAAAACAAGAGATAAAAGAATGGTCTCATTCTGTGATGTGTGACCTTTCATACTCAGTATTGATTAAAGCAAAACACTTCTGTTGCTTCTTTACATTTATACAGGTTCCCTGAAATCATCATGCCTCTTTTAGTTTACAAGCATGGAGATTAATTCACTTAAATATCCCTATCATAGCATTGTTACAGTGTCTTTTTCTACGTTATCACTGGGGACAAGTTAAGTAAAGTGTTATCCCCTAATCAATATTGTTAGTGTATAACAGCACTAATACTAATTCAGTTGTTTCACAACCTACCAGTCACTACTTATGTATTTTAATAAACATCTGTGTTAACCCAACTTGTCGAGGCAGATGGCCGCCCTGAGTCTAGATTCTGCTTCCTTGCCACTGTGGCCAAGTGCTTGCTCATGACAGGAATTCTTTGTAAATAATATTACAAAGAGTATTGTCTAGACCTGCTCTATGTGAAAAGTGCAATGAGATAAACTTATGTTGTTATGAATTGGTTCTTATAAATAAAATTGAACTGAATGTTAATACCAAAAGTTAAAAAATGTTTTATGGCGTGTAGAAAAGAAAATGTGTTTCCTTAATTTTAAATAGATATTTAACATTTCAATGTTTAATTATGATTTAAAACGTCAAATGTTTGAGTGAATATGTCCGCAGCTCCATTCTTCATTACACAGAGGACAAATTAAACATACAGACATCCACCTTTAATGTCTGCCGGGGTGTCTTTGGAGAAAGGCAGAGGCTCCGGGGCGATCACCAGCATTGACAGCTTGCTGAACACTAGTCCAAAAACAGCCATGACCAGGTCTTTTTTCTGAGTCTGGTCCAGGAAGTTGACTGGACTGTGAGATCATACATGAACATTAGGATAATATGAGACCGTGTAAATTCCAGTTTATCTCTAGACTTCACAAAATTCACCTGAAGATACTGGATGATCCTCTTGCAAATCCTTGGCAGATTTTGTTTTTCCTGGTGAGAGCTGCCAGGATTAACATGATCACCAGCTACAGTGAAAGATGAAATTCATCAGGACTATTGTTACGCTTCAGACCGTACAGAACTTCCACATATATAACAGTATGTATTAGAACTTCAACTGAAACCATTGTAATTTTCAGCTGCTGCCTGAAAATCTTCACTCAGACATTTGCTTATAAAGCAGGACAGGTTTCATCCCATTAGTTTCATACAAATAAAAAATTTTTTATTTTTTTTGCTCCTGCTAACTGCTGACTGGACAATATTTGCTACACAACTTGTAGTACTGTACTGTACCTCCTTTTGGCACAAAAATGTGAACTTTTACAGTCGACTTTGCTTTGTTTCAGAGTGTTTGCCGGCTACAGTATCTCATTAAAACTACTCAACTCCATGAAATGACAAAGCAAAGCAGCTTTGTAGATAGACGTCTGGATGGAGCGACTTTTCAGTTATGAGCACCTTGTATAAAGAATCTGATTTTGCATAGAACTTCCTTTAGACTACAACATCTTGTTATTTCTGATCAGCTGGCTGTCACAGCTTATTACCATACAGTCTATGCTTATTACACATCATCTGCTGTATAGGGAAATAGGTCTGTGTGCATTCTTCGTACAGTAAGAGGAGTTTTCTGACTGAGGTCTACTTATATATATTTGCTTTCACTTGTAATTGGGTTTGGATAGAATGACGACAAACATCATTAGATTGAATTTTTTTTTTTTTTTTTGAGCAAGATGCAAAAACTTCAGAACAAACTATAAATTCACTTTATGCCACTCCTGCTTTACCGAGGAGGACAATGTAGTGTAGATCTTGTTTGCACCTTTGTTTTGCAATTACATATGCTGTTTACACTCTGGGGCGGCATGGTGTTACAGTGGTTAGCACTGTCATCTCACAGCAAGAAGGTTGTGAGTTCAAACCCCGGTTGCCCCGGCCTTTCTGTGTGGAGTTTGCATGTTCTCTCCAGGTGCTCCGGCTTCTTCCCACCGTCCAAAGACATACAGCCTAGGTTAATTGGTGTCTCTAAATTGTCTATAGATGGACTTATTCTTTAGATTGTCCCTCATGCTTGCTGGCACGAGGGACAATCTATTTTTACAATACCCTTTGTCTAGGTCCTGCTTATACTGACGGCCCTCTGGCCTGTTTGGTTCTGCCATGGTTCATGTAATTGGTAGGCAGGGCCGTCCACTTGGGCTGACTGGGAGCACCAGGGCCCAATGCTCCCAGCTATTATAAATGCTGCCATCTTAGACCTTGTGGTAAGACTCTCTCTGTGTGCTTTGTGTGATTCCTTTGTTATTGTCACTCACTTACAGCACTGACATTACTGTCAGTCACATCTCTTCTCTTTTGCAATTTAATTTGTGTTTTTTTGTTGTTGTTGTAAATAAATCAGTTAATTTGAGTGAATTGTTGGAGTCTCTCCCCTTTATTTGCCATGGCCCTTGATATTATGGTATCTACTTCAAAGGCCAACTGTCATCAACCATTACTGGAAGTGTGTTTAGCTCACTGTATTGCTACACGCAGCTACATGCAAAGTGAAGGCAGAAGAATTGTGGGGTTTGGGTTTGGTTATTTGTTTGTTTTAGGGGTTTGTTTGTTTGTTTGTTTGTTTGTTTATGATTATAATTACCTCCCAATATTGCAGCTGGGTGTCAGCAGATGTTCATTAGTTTTAGCAGCTTTATGTTGTCTTGCTTGACTCGGGCCACAATTGGACAACGTACTTGACACTGCCCAGAGTTCTGCTAACAGAAACTGATTTTCTGCCCAAATCAGCCCAAACCTGGCAGCCAAATTAGGACCTGCGCTATCTTTCATTGTTGATGCCACAACACAGACAAGTGTTCAAACATTCAGACACATTTGGCCCGACTTGGCTGCTTACCTGGGCTACTTCTAAAACAGAATATTTATTTAACTTTTATACAGATCGTCCCACTGCTTCTTCTTTTCCAACTCTCTTTATAAACAACCCAATTTAGAAATATTACTTTGAACTTCTGACTTTGACTTACTGAAAAACATACTAAGTTGAATTCTTGGTATAAGTACCGCACCACGGATGCAAAATTGTGTAATGTACAATTTGTTTTTCATATCCATTTATCCAATAAAACAACTAGACATGACTTGACTATAAAGGGTCACAGGACAGAAAGGTTGAGAACCAACATTATTATTTATCAACACTCAACAAAATGTGCTTTTACTTTTCAGATGTGCAGTAACGTTTTTTTAACTTGAGGATACTTACAGATATCAACAGCATGCATATGTGGAAGATCTTGTCATCCACTGTGGGGTCACATGGCAAAATAACTCTGTGACAAAAAGGCAACCACAATGAAATGCTTTAACCACAATTAGAACAAACAAACTTTAAATATCTGTGGAACAATAGACATTGAAATGTAGCTAAAACTGTTGAAATGTCCCTGTTTCAGAAGAAAACATTTCCTCACAATTTTATGATTTGTGCGATTGATCAATGATTGATGCCATTACATGATCCATGTGAGTTGATTTGGTCTTTTTTGTTTTAATCGTGGTTTTCTGGATGCTTGAGTAAAATGTACACCTATTTGCCAGGAACCAGTGTTGCTTGTTCAAATTAAGCACAATCACAAATGAAGTCACCAACAATCAACTTACTGAGTACTGCACTCGTACATAAAATCAAAACTGTGCTGTAATAGCAATAATAAAATCAGGTATGGACATCACAGTGACACCTTTAAACTCAAACTTATATATGAAATTACTTTCAGGGGGCTTGTACTTACTCTTTGGGTGGTGTGGTTGGCTCTGCGTTGTTCGAGTACCAGTCTGAATAGTCATAGTAGGAATATTCAAAAGGTTCAAATTCGACCTTGCTGTGATTCATTGCAGCTGTTCAGTCGAGTCAAACGGGTGCAGCGGGATGATTAAAGATCCCGAGGACTGCAGGTAACCTCGCTCAGTGATCTGCTGGTGCTGTATTGTGTTGGAACAGTTTGGCCCAAACACTCAGACACATTCCAGTCCAACCAAGACCTCAAACACAGCAGATTAACAACGGCATGGAGGGGGGAGAGAGAGAGAGAGAGAGAGAGAGAGAGAGAGAGAGAGAGAGAGAGAGAGACAGAAGGGTTCAATATTACAATTAATAAGAGAAGAAGTGGAGGAAGAAACCGACGTGAAGTGACCTTCTAAACCTAACTAATTGATTAGGTTTTACAGTTACTCAAGTTCTGTATTGAGGTACTTGTACTTTACTTTTCAAGCCACTTTATACTTGTCTTCCACTGCAGCTCAGGGGGAGATATTGTACTTTTTACTGCATTCATCTGACAGCTTGAGTAACTTTACAAATTAAGATTTTTACATACAAAACATATGAAGAGCTAATAAAATGTGGTGCTTTGTTATAGAACTGAGATGGTTACTTGATTAGCTGATTGACAGAAAATTAGTTGGCAAGAGTTTTGATAATTGTTTAAGTTGTTTTTTTCACACAGAAACATCAGCTTGTCAAAGTTGAAGTTTATTCTTGTAATTATTTTAGTTATTTTTATTTATTTCTGTATTTGTTTTAGTTGTGACACACTGTAAATTTGTTGCTCTGGGTAATTGTGACACCATTTCTCACTATTTCTACAAACCAAACAATCAATTAATTGAGAAAATAATCAGCAGATTAGTTGCAAGCTTATGTAAAATAGTTTCATCCTGCAGGTCAGGACCCACCAAAGAAATTTCTGTATGCACTTTAATATCATAAATACTGCTTCAACCAAAATTTGTCCAATCCAAAGTAATATATACAATATATAGTATCTTCATGTAATTACAATTATGATGTCTGTTCCTTTTTAATGCATTGTGTTTGGTGTATTCATGTTGCAATAAAAGCACTGTGTGATTTCTCGTTGCGATTAGGTAATGTCAGTTTTGCGCTGCAATGTGGCGTTAACCTGTTTGCCTCCCTCTGCCCGTTACTTAAGAGACTAATCTTATAATAAGAGGAAAATCTCTCATTTAAACAGGGGCAAGCATTGTGTGAAAAGAGCTTATGAAAGGCCAAAATGAGAATGTTGATCATTTGACACGTGAGGTAAGGCCTCAGTTTAGGATCAGCCCAAACTTGTGTTTTATTTTTATGAGAAAAAAAGAAGAAAGAAAGGAAGTATAATAAGATCGTCCAGTGCTGCAGCAGATTTACTGACAGTGGACAAAGACAGATCACAGACCTTTAACTTTATCAAGCAGAAGCATAAAGATGGGCAAAGTGTTCCAGTTAAATCAGTTTGTGCATCAAAAAAATATATTAAAAATTTTTAAAGGTACATTTTCAGCCATTGGACACGTTTTTTTTTTAGATATCGGGAGAATCTCCTTTAAGAGTTCAAAGTTTCTTAATCTGGATCTGTGAGCTCACTCATATGACAGAGGCTGCAGAGGGCCATTTGATCTGATCCCAGGATTTTCTGACCGTGTGGATGTCGCAAAGGGACCCACAATGCTCAACTGCTGCTATTTCAGCAAAAAAGGCCACCAGTGATGTAAAAGCGAATGTACTTTATGCCAACTCTTGAATTAAAGCTCAGCTTCATAAATGACTGCACTGAAAGCAAAGCTGTGGATTTCCTTTTCATGCCCAGAGTCATCTGTTACTATTTCACTTGCTGTGTTGGCTTATGAAACCAAAAGAAGCGTTTTATGTGTCCACCTGCCTCCAGTTCTGCTCCTCTGATGTTTTTCATGTGTTTGAATCAGGAGGTAAAGTAATACTGAGTGACGTCTCTTATCAAACTGACATTTGGTTATGGTACACCAGTAAATGCTTCTACCGTTTGCTTTCACATCTCATTTCAAAGTGGAGAACACTTTATATTGATAAAACTGTAATACTGTCACTTTTCATTTTCCATTTGGCTCTATGTCTTTAGTCCAAACTTAAAACTGTTGGATGGATTGTTATGAATTTTTATTCATGGTTTTCCTGAGGATAAATCCTGATGAGTGTGTTAATCCCCCTGACTTTTTCTCTATGCACCATATATATATAACTGTGGAAGCACGTGGCAGGGAAGAATTTGAGTGGGGGAACCGTCTCGGCCAACATTTGGTTCCTGAAAAATAAGGAGAAAAAAGAAAAGGGGTTTTGCTTTAAAAAACTCAGTCAGAGAGCAAAAGAAAAAATGAGCTGTGTTTAAATACTTTTGTGCAGAAATTGGATGTGTTCAAGGCATGGTCTTTGTTCCAAAACCTAGTTATAAAACTTTATTACGTTTAGTTTGGAGGAATTTTGAGCTCTGTTCTACAAACCAGTTATATTAAATCACATCAAAAGTTATCCAAACTAAACAAGTCTCCACATTGTCTTTCTACACATGCTTGGTTAAATTCAGCGACGGTTTTCTGCCTGGCACTTGTTTTCACATTTTCAGACCAATAACTATCAATTTTAATTATATTATATACTTATTAATGTATTTTAAAATGACAGTGCATCTCCTTTAACAAAGAACAACAGCATCCGTACAGTTTCTAATTTCAGCCCTCATCTGTCACTGTATCCAAACATCTCTTTACAAGATGACCACAGAGTCTCTCCAGCGCAGGTTTATTACCCAGAGAGAGGATTCCTGTTTTTCTTGTAGCCAGAAAAAGCCCTTAAAAGGCCCTTAAATCATGTCTGTCCCATACAGTAATTGGAATATTTGAGCAGAAGAAATTGGCCTTCTCCAAACTGGGCAGATTGTTTCTGACGGTGCGTCTGAACAACTGAGAAAAACAGTAACTCACATTGAGGGGACTCGAGACCTATCTGCATTTTATGTTTTAAGACTTTGTTTTGAGATTATGTTCATGGAGTGTGTGTTTGTTGAGGGTTTGTGTGTTAAAGCAGACAGAGGGCGCTGTTTGATTGATTCCCTGTGTTACACAGGGTCCAGAGCTCTGTAATCTACATGTTGTAGCTCACACACAATATAGCCGATGTTTCCCCTTTCTTTACATATTTGTATCCTTAAAATCATGCTCAACTATTTACCTTTATCAATGAAAGTCTGAAGGCTACATCATCTCTTGTAAAGTGTGACACACTTATGAGAAAAAAAATCAAAACCCATTTTTAAGCAATTTTTACTTCATCAAGGCATGACAACATGAATATAACAGTTAATTACAGCAGGAATATACAGTCCATCTATCACCAAACAAATAAACATCTGCAAAAACACACAAATAAGGAAATACTAGAGGATGAAATGTGATGGTGAGTCACTTAAGACACAAATCAAGTCTAAATATGATACAAATAGACAACAAGCATGATGGTAAGAACTGAATTGTATTTTCAACGTGGAAACAAACAAATAATAAAGTGGCCTTTAAAAAAAAATAACAGCACGCAGAATCTCTGATATGTATACAGAAATACAAAGCAAATATCTGCCAAACATCGTCCCTCTGAACCTTGGAGTTTATGGATGACTGCATGGGTTTCTGGGTGATGGTCTTAGTTTTTGAACATGTCACACAACAGTTTCTCCATGGGAGTGTTTCCGATGGTCCTGTGGAAGAACAGCAGCTCTATCCGCTCCGAATTCACAAAACGCAGAGAGGGAAGAAGAAGAAGCAGCTTTCCAAACCTTAAAAAACACACAAAAACAACAAAAATCCATAAATAAACTTCAGCATGCAACAGAATATAGTATTGCATTATTTCAGGTCTTCATGCTGACCATTAAAATGACACTACATTTGAACATTGTTAAATATTAATATTAAAACTGTGTTAATAACTGTTATAGCTAAATATAGCTGGGACAAATATGTTTCAGTGGACAGGCCTGATAAATATTTATTCAGGCTATGCGAGGCTTGCCTATCACTATGTTGTTGTTTTATTATTGTTTCGATTTGAACAGGTCAAGTCAAAGTTAGCACAGTCAAATCCTCGTTTTTGTGAGTCTCGAGTCTACAGCTCGGCTGTCTGAGCCTATTTTTTGGATAGATGGCGCATTTTTATTAATCTAAATAACTGGCCAAGTAAAAACATAATATTGAGTCAAATCACTCCCAGAAGCTACAAAAGTTTAGGTGATCTGAAACAGGGCCCCCAAGTTTCAGTAAGTTAATGAGATTTAACAGTGTAAAAGTATTTAAAAGGGGAATTCATATTAATTAAGTATTCATGTAGCACTGAGGTGATGATTTTTTAAAACAGGGTGTTACCTGGCTGGTTGACTGGGGTAGTGTGAGCGGATGTGTTGTCCCAGCATCACTTGAGATTGATCCTGCAGGTTCTCCACCTGTTCTGGATCTTTCAAACCACGAGTCTCTGTGGAGAAGAGGAAACACAAATGTGAGTCACACAAAGTTAGACAAATACACATAATTACACTCATTCATACTGACAGCTGAATAATTTATATCTAAAGGGTTAGTTTAAGAAATGTCACTAGCCATTATGTTAAATCTATGAAATCTTATCTCCATGTTTAACAAAATTGGATGTCTCATATCTCATTTTCCAACATATAAATATCTGCCAGAGGTGTGAGAAAAGCCACATATGTTATTCAAATGAGCCTGCTTCAATTCTCCAATACAAATTTAAATTTTGTCTGATTCTAAGAATTTGGTACTTTTTTGCAGCCATTACGGGGTGAAATATTGATTATGCTCTGCATTCAGAAGTATAAATTGGATTAAAAATAATTTGTAAATTTGTAAAGAAAAGACCATGATCAGTTTCAAGTCAATAGTGTCCTCAGCAAATAGCATGACAACCTGAATATGTGGTGGGTTTAAGGTTATGCTTTATTTATTTAAATTGATTTTATGCGGTATGTTCAAGGTTCAAGTACTTCTTCCTTCTCCTGGCTGCAAGACAAATTTCCTTTTTTTGGATAACAAAGTTAAAGCTCAATGTCAAAAAGATAATAAAATAT